GTGGGTGGTGGTGGGGGGGGGGGGGGGGGTTTGTAAAAACGAATATAACCCATAGGTATATTCACTAAATTATGGTGGTACTTAGATCATTATAGTGAAATAAGGCTGGACATACTCACTTCATAGTCATTGAGCTTTTTGTTCTCCTGATGTAACAAGGTCCAACTGTGTTTTGCATTCTAATGTTTCTTAGAATATTTGAAAAAATATTTTTATAAAAGAAGTATTCTGTCCTATACTCAGCATTGATTTCAGGGGAGCTAAGACAGTTTACATCAGCTGAAGATCTACGCCTTTATACTGACATTGGGTTAGGTAAAACTTCTGTTAAAGACACAAACTTCTGCGCTACTCGATGATATCCCTTTGGTTTAACTGGAGTTCTACTTAACATTTCATCTTAATGCTGTCAGAGATGCTATACTTGTCTCCTTGTCACTGCATTATCGTGTCAGCACTGGCTGTAGGATTAATTTTTCTATTTAGTGCTTCAGTGCTTTATTTCAGGGAACCTTTGCCAAAACCAAACTATGACATAGACAAGAAGATAATACCTGTCATTGTGAAGTTGTTCTGGGTAGGACACTGTTCGTAGCACCTCTTTCCCAGTCCTGGGTAGTTGCAAATGTGACTCTGGTTCTTGTCCATGAAATAGAGAATTACTATGGAGCAGGGTGCACCACTGGCTTAGTCCTTTTGACAAATGTCAAGGGTATAAGTGCGCACCTATGAAAATTATATAGCATTACAAGCAAATTACTACCCCTTGTGCATATTTATTATGATAGTTTTTAACAGATGGTCTGTAACAGGGCCCCCTTCTGCTCTTCCCTTGCTGCGTCCACAAGCTATCTCTTTTTTGGTGCTATCACCAGTGCTCTTCATTTACAGTATTCTACAAACAGCTTCACTGGTAGAGCCTCAGGAACTGCTAGCTGCTTCTCCCAGCAGAGAAGAGCTCCCACTCCCTCTAATTCTCTGGTTCCTCCCTTTCCTTTTCCCCTGGCTTGTTTCATGCCAACCTTTATGTAGCCCTTGGCTAAAGAGGCTAGCAGAGCTTCCCTGTTTGCTAGTCAGGCCTTGGCTTATTCAGCCAGCTCTAATTCCACATTCTTGTTTGGAGAGGGCATGACAGGAAGCTGGCTCAGGTTTCCTTGAGAGCACCCAGTCACAGGTCACATGCTGTCTTTTCATAAGACTTCTGCCTTATTCAGTGCACCAGGATGGCCTGCTCTGTGGATGAACTGTGTAACTAAAGAGATTGTCTTAAAAGACCCTTTCCTCATTTCTTGGAACATAGGTAATGAATGAGGCTGAGAGTTGTAGAAGGAGAAAGGAGGGTCTTGTGGTCTTTGTTGAAGAATTGATTTTAGCTCTTCCTCTGCCTATATGGTGCTAAATAAGCCACTTAAAGCAAACCTTTGAGGTGCTTTGTGCTTGCTAATTGTGTGTTTCTCACTTTGAGTACCTAGCTTGATACCTTGAAGTCTGGGCCGGGGACTGCTCCAGCCCCATAGAGCCCACTGCAGGCAAGGTTTGCTCCAGCCCGTGAGCCAGAGCAGCTCCTGTTCAGGCCCCTTTTCCTCCCTTGCCCCTGCCATAGATTACACTCCGGGGCTCCTGACCCGCTTGTGGGGAGCCAGCTGCAGAGCCCACAGCAAAGCCTCCTCAGGAGTAGGGCTGGTAGCGCTTCCTCATCCCGCTCCTGCGGAGGTGGCTTTGCTGCAGCCCTTGCTTTAGCCAGATAAGGTTTATACTGCAGAGTCTGCTGTGTGCGTAATTGCTAAAAATCTTAGCGGTTACACGGTTATGTTTGTAAATTATTTTTTACATCTCTACTGAACACTCATAACTGAATTTGAAATCAGTGGGAGTTGTCCTTTTGAATATATTCTGAAAATTCAGATTTTTGGGATTTTCAGATTGGGCCTCCAAAATTAGTGGATGTTTTTAACTACAATCTCTGTGCTTCAGTTCTCCATCTGTAAAAGTGGGATAATATCACCTGCTCACATCAGAAGGGTTTTGAGAAGACAGATTAAAATTTCTGTGAAGTGGAACACAATAGAAAATTTCACGTGGAAATAATTTTGTTTTCATTACAGGATTTGAACAGCGAGAAGAAAACAAAATATTGAATATTCAAAATATTGAATACAGGCAGTCCCCGGGTTACGTACAAGATAGGGACTGTAGGTTTGTTCTTAAGTTGAATCTGTATGTACGTCGGAACTGGAGTCCAGATTCAGTCGCTGCTGAAACTGTCCGCCAGTTCTGACTTACATACAGATTCAACTTAAGAACCCGAAGCTGCCCAGCGGCTGACTACAGGAAGCCCGAGGTAGAGTTGCTCTGCCCCAGGCTTCCTGTAGTCGGCGCTGGTCAGTTTCAGCAGCGGCTGATTTGGGGACGCCTGGGGCAGAGCAGCTGGGGTGCTGCTGGGTTGCTCCCAATTTAACATTATATCGTAATGCATACTCACAAGAGGGCTGAATGAAGCTTAATGCTTGCACTTCCTAAGTTTTGTATGCCAGTCTTAGTGATCTTTAACATAGTTCTTCTTCAGGTGCTTGCTTATATCAATTCCAGTTGTGCGCATGCTGTGTGCATGATTGCTAGCAAGATTTTTTCCTTGTTGCTACCCCTTGGGTTGGATGTGGAGCTCCTGGGAGTGGGCCTGGTGTGGTGCACTAAATATGATCCTTTCAAACCAACCACCCCTCAGGTCTTTCTTACCGCCAGTGAGGGCTATTGGAACTGTGGTTCTCTTGCGTCACAACTGATCTGCATGTCCCTAGCGTTCTGAGGTGGTGTTTTTTTTTTCGTAGTTAGTTATTCACTGTTAATTGTTGTGGTCGGAAGGGTTTCCCTTCTTGTCTATATTCTCTCAGGGTATGTCTACACTACCCTCCTAATTCGAAATAGGAGGGTAATGTAGTCATACCGCAATTGCAAATGAAGCCCGGGATTTGAATTTCCCGGGCTTCATTTGCATAAAGCCGGCCAGCGCCATTTTTAAATGCCGGCAGTTCGAACCCCGTGCCGCGTGTAGCCGCGCGGCACGGGGTTCGAACTGCCGGCATTTAAAAATGGCGCTGGCCGGCTTTATGCAAATGAAGCCCGGGAAATTCAAATCCCGGGCTTCATTTGCAATTGCGGTATGACTACATTACCCTCCTATTTCGAATTAGGAGGGTAGTGTAGACATACCCTCAGGGGCTTGAGAGCATATCCCAGTCCTAAGGCTTCAAGCCCTGAAGTTCCTGAGCAAAGTCTATGCCTACAAATGACTCCACGATTCATTCCTATGGCATCTGAGGAAGCCCATCAGGCTAATTGGTGCCGGATCTGCAAAGCATTCAAACCTGGAGCTAGGAGTAGGACTTGAGACTTAAACAACTCTTCATGGAGTCTGCTCTTCTCCCGCAATGACAGGACCCGGTGCCAAGTACCTTAGTGTCCAACACACTGCTATCAGTCGAGCCGGTGTAGA